TACTCGTAGTCCAAGTTTTTTTACATGTTTAAGAAGGGGGAATTTTGATTTGTTATTGTTAAATTATTATCACTTCAATATTGAGTAGAGTGACTTGTGACTAAAATTATTATCACTCTGTAGTCCAAGGTAATTTTGCCTTTGCCTTGTTGAATGAACCATGCTTTTCTACGGTCAAAGAGTGGGTTTCACTTTTAACAAAAGGCCTCATCACTTGTTTCTCCATTGGTGTGTGTTGATTATACAGTAATTGCAGGCTCCAAATAATATCATCAATGCTCGAGTCAAATCTTATCTGTAATCTCAGTTCAAACTTTTAGGTATCTTTATAAATGAGTGAATCATCTATTTGATATGTTAAGTGCCTGTACCTATACCTGCACATACTTGTTCATTTTGCATGCTTTTATTAGGCATGTATATGTATTTATGAAAAGATGAATAGTAGATTCTTGAATTATAAAATGTGTTTTATTGATTAAATACCTTCTTCTTCAGCTCTACATTTTCTTATAATTTTAGAAAATTATAATATAAATTAAATTGTGTTTGTGTCTTTGATCAATATTTACCCCTCTTCTATTTAATTTTCATTTGGCTATATACACATTGATGTTTACTTATATTTAATATTCCTTTGTGATAGATGACAACTAATATTGATAACAATGAGTCAAAACTTTGGCCTGACTCTGTTGTTAAGACTTTCATTGATATTATGGTTGATGAAACTACGAAAGGAAACATGTCAAATGGTGTGTTTCACTCTAGAACATGGAATTCAATAACTATGAAGTTAAATTCCACAACAAATCGTTCAAATAAATCAGAAGAATTAAAGGCAAAGATGCACAGGCTACAAGCTATTTATCGTGAATTTTCTTTACTTTTGCAACAAAGTGGATTTGGATGGAATGCAGAAACTAACACTGTCACTGCAAGTGAAGAAGTATGAAAAAATTATCTATGGGTATGATTTAATTTAATAGTTAATATTTTTATTTTTTATTTATTTAATGTTCAATAATTAATACTGTATTGACTATTTGCTTATATTATTTTAAGTACATGATAAAGCTGCTCAATTTCAAAAGAAAGGATGTGACCATTATAAGTTATTGGGAATGATATTTAATAGAAGTACTGCAACTGGAGTACTTCATCATTCATCTACCCAAGATCCACCAAATACGGATGAAGAAAATGAGCTTGTCAATACCTTAATAGTGGGAGTTATTTAATTGTTGATAATAATAGCTCAGATGATAACACAATGGAAGTGGAGCGCATCTCACGTAGTGGAAAATGAAAAATTCAAGTAAAAGAGCACAAGTCTAGGAAAGAGTCTAGGACATTACAAATGGGAGAGGCTCTTGCAGCATGGGCTGAAGCATCTAAGGCAAAAGCTGAGAAGTATAAGGCTAGGAGTATGAAGGCTACTTCTTCACTTGTTACACCAGATTATTCTATTACTAAGTGTGTGGCTGCCCTCGAAGAGATTAAAAGCATACTAGATGACGTTTATGTAAAAGCTTTAGAAAAATTTAGGAAGCCTGATTGGAGGAAAATGTTTCTTGCTATGTCTACTACTAGGAAACAAGCATGGTTATTTAGGCTTTAAGGATAAAACATTAGACATCTATTATTATGTTTTTAATTTGTGATGAACATTTATTTGTGTGTTTTTATGAACTACTTTGAATTTTATGTTATGTTATTTCACTTTTATTGTATAATTTTCATCGAATATCTTTTTTATCAATGTTTTTATTTTGTGGAATTATATGACAGGTTATAATCATAATGGATATTGATAAAAGTGGTGATTCTTCTTCTGAGTCAAGTGATGATGAGTTAGCTGAGTTTCTTTTAGTTAACATGCTTTATGATTATGGTCATAAATTTCTGAACAAAAGAAAGGTTCGAGCATCTGCATTGAGTGGTCGTGATTATACTCAAGAGTTATTAAATGAATCTGGAGTAACTTGCTTTGAGTTACTTCGAATGAAGAAGGATTGTTTTGTTAAATTTTGTGATGAGTTGAGGGAAAAGAGTTACTTAAGTGACTCAAAGAATGTTCTTCTTGAAGAGAAGGTTGCTATGTTTTTTTTTATAATTGGCCAGAATGTTCGTCATAGAGTTGCTGCAGATCACTTTCAACACTCAATAAAAACAGTTTCTCGTTATTTTAAGCAAGTATTAAGAGCAGTGTGTTTGTTTGGAAAAGAGCTGATAAAACAAGAATCTACATAATTGCCCAATAAGATTAAAAATGAGTCAAAATATTATCCTTGGTTCAAGGTACGTATGTAATACTTATTTGTTATTTTAATCAATTCTTTTTTTTTCTTTTATTCTATCTTGTTTTTTTTATTTATTTTGAGTTATTGTTATAGAACTGCATAGGTGCAATTGATGGCACTCATATAAGTGCACAGGTTCCTACTGAAAAACAAATTGCATATAGAGATAGAAAGGCAGCTATCACACAGAATGTTATGTTTGCTTGTGATTTTAATATGATGTTTACATTCGTGTATTCTGGATGGGAAGGAAGTGCACATGATTCAAAAGTTTTTTTGGATGCACTTACTAACCCAAATGCAAATTTTCCAAGGCCATCTAAAGGTGAGCACTTATATTATAACTCGGTTATTTTTAATTGATGAAGAAATATTCATAAATATATATTTTATGTAATGTAGGTTTGTTCTATCTTGTTGATTCTGGCTATGATTCTGGCTATCCATGTACGAGAGGTTTTCTTCCCCCTTATAGAGGAGAAAGGTATCATGCACAAGAATATAGAGGCCAAGCCAGACAACCAAGGAGTCTTACAGAGTTATTCAACTACAGACACTCTTCTTTGAGAATGACAATTGAGTGTTGCTTTGCAATCTTGGAAAACAAGTTTCCTATTTTGAAATTGATGCCTCCATATAAACCTTCCAAGCAACAACTCATAGTAATATGCTAGCATATTGTGCTATTCATAATTACATACGAAAGTGAAATTTGAATGATGATTTATTCAGGATATAGGAAGAAATGGATTTTATTAAAAGTGAGCATGAGAATAGAAGTTCGAGTATAGAAGAAACTAGCTCCAATGATCATAATTTAGTCAGATTATCTGATTAAGGTGTAGCCGAGATGGCAACATTTAGAGATCATATTACGAATCAAATGTGGGCACAATATAACAACTAGTTAGTATTAGTTTATACATATACAATTGCAAATAGTTATACATATGTTGCAGGATTTATCCTTAATATACATATTCACTTGTTTTATTGTATTGGTGATATTTATCTTTTTTTGTGATATTACCTATTCATACTATTTATATATTTTTTTAAATTATTTTAATATTAAAATTAATCATTATTTTTTAGTTTAATATTAATTTATTTTGTGTGAGCATGATATAACAACATGATATAACAACTAGTTAGTATTAATTTATACATATACAATTACAAATAGTTATACATATGTTACATGATTTATTTATAATATACATATTTACATGTTTTATTATATCAATGTTATTTACTTTTTTGTTATGTGATATTATTTATTCATAATATTTATATTTTTTATTAAAAAATATTTTATTATTAAAGTTAATCATTATTTTTTAGTTTAATATTAATTTATTTTATAATTTCATAATTTACAAAATTCTTAGTATTACAAGTATTATTTTAATTTAATATTAAATTTTGATATTTTAATAATTTTTCAATTCAATATTTTTTAAATATAAAATATATATTTAATTAAATAAAAATACTAAAATTAAAAATTATATCTATATATTTAATTTAAAATACTAAATAAAAAAGTAAATGAAACCAAACACATTTTATTTTTTTGTGTTTTTAAAACTTATTTTAAAAAAAAATTATCAAACAAATTTTTTTATTTTTTCTTCTTAAAAACAGTTTTGAGAACTAAATTACCAAACAAAATTTATTTTCATTCTCTTCTTAAGAACAGTTTTATAAAATTGTTTTCAAATGTAATTTTTAAAAACTAAAAAATAAAACTCAATCGAACAGGCCCTAACTATTCTTGATCTTTTACCGCTGACACTGAATGGCTATCCAACTAAAATGATATGAAAACAACCTATTGTTTCATTGCGCCGTGTTTAACTTAAGTTGCAGTTTTTGACAATTTAAGGAAATAGTTACTAGTGTATCATTAGACTAGAAATCATGTGTAACTTTAATAACCACGCAATTAATTTGTCAAATTGACAATTTATACTACCAGCTGCCCAATTTACTTTCTAACAGTATAAAATATTAAATTTAAATGGAAAAGGTAAAAAAGTTTTAAATGACATTATTAAGAGTAGAATAAGATATTTAACCATTCTCAAAAGAACATTTTGTTAAACGAGTATTTAGTTGACATTTTAGAATGGCATGCTATATATCATATGTTTCATTTTATGTTTGGTGCATTTTAAGAATAAAACAGATAAAAACACAAGATTAGATGATACATTTTAACTTCACTAAAACAAGTAAAACCACGTATAACAAAAGAGAACGTTCAGAGCCAGAGAGTACAAAACATGAGATTCTGCTCTCCACTAAAACATTGTGTTCAATTTGCACATCAAACCCTACACTAATAATTAATCATATGCAAAATTTATCAATTAAATTATCTTATATTAATTTTATAATAATATATAACAAAATATATATAATTTATACATTTGTAGATTTATTATCTGAAATTTAATATTCATTTATATTTTATAAAAATATTATCCATTGAAATAAAGTAAAACAATAATATATATATATATATAACGATAACATATTGTTAACTTGCAGTTATTAACTTAGAATTTACGTGTTCACAGATAAATAATTTGCAACGCGTCACACAAGCTACATAAACTTCTTTTTTTTTTTTCGACATAACCTACATATTAAACTAGCAACATATACGGTGGAGAGCATCGATGTATACGAGTCATATGCCATTTGATATAATATTATTAAACGAGCGAATATGACTTGAAACCTTTTACATTTACAAAGTATCCCAAAATTATTAGACATTATAATAAGGCACCAAAATCATGAATGAAAATCTCGTCCAAGGAGCAAAATGCTGAACCACAAGGCCGTTTACATATCTCCAGGAGCAATCTCGTTTGTTCCTCTAGTAAACTATCTTCCCTGGTTCTTGTATTTTCAATGTCTGGTATAGCAGCACATTTCAGTTATTGCCAACTTAATCTTTTAATTAGTCTTCAAAGATTGTATATATCGAACATTTTAGTTTCTGAAAATTTTACAAATTTAACTTTGTAAAACAACATTTACTTTAGTCCTTTTTAGCGCAAAACAACAGTAAGAAAATTATTTTAAAAAAGGACTATAATAAATATTTTTTTACAAAGTCAGACAAATAAAGAAGTTTTAAAATATTGAGGACTAGAATGTTCAATCCATACAATTTCAAAGACTAACTTCAATGTTTCCTCAAAATTTTGGTATGGTTACACAAGACCATCCTTCAACTAACACGTGAAATGAATGCAATGTACAATGCTATGATGTGGAGGGTGAATCTTGGCTTCTATGGCTATGCAAAGTAAGCTCTTCAGTTCTTATAGTCAAGTTCTCATTTTCCAATTCCACAGTAGTTTTTCCTAATTTGCTAAAAGTATCGGAAGGAATGTTGATTCCAGTGAAGCCAATCATGACAGCTATTGCTCCAAGGTATTCCATAAAGCGAGGAGCATTTCCAGTCAAGGTATCAACAATGGCAGCCAATGGGACCTGAATTGAAAGTCCAGCTGTAGCTACTGTGGTTGATGTAAGAAGAACAGCCTTGGCCCACAAGTAATCACTCAGCACATTATCCAGCAATCCTATAGGAAAAAAAATCTATACATTATGAAATGTACATGTCTAATAGAGTGAGGAAAGGCATCCACTAAAATACCAAGCCAAGATCCATGGGTAAAAGGGAGTTGTTGAAACCAACGAAATATCAAAGTGCTGGATATTTGTTAAAATATTAAAATGTAGGGTTATTAACTATGTTAAGTTTGAGGTGAGGTGCAAATGCAGATTTATTTTCCATAAATTTGGTGAAAAATCTCTTGAAACCATTAATAGGTAAGTCAAAAGAAAAAGTATAATGACACAAATGGCTTTAGAGTCACTTCGTTATGAATGTCAAAAGTGAAAGTAACGAATAGTTATGTTTCAAGTTCGAGAATTCTAATTCAATGGTGGATATCTTTTGATATTTTAAGGAAATTTGACTAAATCGCTGTAGCCATGTTCTGAAATATATGCATTCAGCTAATGATGAAGCTCTAGACCAATTCTTAAGATTTACAATATCTCAAATAACTCACACTTGCAAAGAAAAGCATTTTTCTTGATAAAATATAGTTAGGACTTCAACAAATAAAAAGTTGGTAACTTTGTTGTTCCTTCCCACTTTTTTCCTATTTCCTTTCACTGAGGTAAGGTTGCATATATATTGATCCTTCCAAGATCCAACAATGGTTGGAAACTCAATGGAGTAGGCCATCCTTTATTGTTTCTTATGTTCTAGGACTACAAAATTTTATAATCGCCAGACACTAGTTCCCCTTTCAAAAAAACAGAGAAATTTATGATGAACTAATTCTCATGCTTGAATTAATCTTCTTGCTTTATTGGCCTTATAAGTCTTTATAAAACCTATCATAAACCAATTATCCTAAAGGCTTAAGTTGTTAGGTAAAAGTACATGAATGGTTTTATGCTTTTATAATTTTAACGCACCCTCTTGCAAAGAAGGCCTAATGTGCTTGACTCATGTACAAACTAACCTTATCTTGTACTGAAATTTAACTTAAATTCAAAATAATGGAGGGTGCCAAAGATTGAACTCTACAATACTTGGTACGCTGGTCATAGAGAGGCTCTAATATCATGTCAAGAGCCAGCTATCCCAAAAACTTAAGCTATCAGTATTAGGTGCAGGTTCAAGCTATCAGTATTAGGTGAAGGTTCATGGATGGTTTACACTTCTATATGCTATCAAATCAATTCTTCCCATGTAGGGAAATTAGACAACAAAAATTAAGTTTAATCCAAACTCAGTTTATTTCCCATTCACAAAAAATGACAAAATAATATGGTTTTCTCACAAGAGTTTTGTAAAATGGTAAGTTCAACTTTTCAACCCTATGCTTTGACCCAGGATTCACTTCACACAAAATTGAGTCCATATCATTCATGATTTGTTCCATTATCATCTAATTGTGATTTTCTCCCATCCATTTTTTAATAATAAGCTACATGTAGCTGACACATGAGCTCACTCTAAATTATTAGTTCCCCACCCTGTAGTTTGGAATGATTTTACTTTGTCCACAACAAAAAAATTAACACATTGCAATGCTGTGATTTACTCTGTTATTAGGCAAGAAACTAAAAGCAATTTACAAATACATGAGGCAAATGACAAGTTGGTAAAGTGATACATATTATTATATCAGAAGATTAGAAATTGAATTTCGGTTAAAGCACATGGTGGGAAATTGCAACTTACACTTTGCAAAGTAATCGTTGAGAGAATATATCCTGATTTGGTGCAAGATTATCTTTTGTTTTATTGATATGTAAATACAGTAACTAGAAATGTTGATATGTAAATATAGTAATTAGGAACATAATACTAGGATTATGTAAACACAGTAATTAAGATTGTAATATCAAGATTCCATTTATAGATCCTTGTACACTTGTATAAATTTAGACCCACAAAAAAATAATATTCAATCTCTTATTTCAAGTTAGTATCAGAGCTCCAGATCCTTGGGAGCTCTACTTCTGTGCATATAAACCCCATAGTCGCCTTCATTACAGTAATTGAACCCTAGGTTGCCTTGAATGCAACAACCAAGTGCTTGATACCTTACTCATACCAATTTTTTTAGTTCCTATACACCGTCGCCCATCACTATTTTTGGCCCACTACTAGAGATTGCTTCGATCAAACCAGAAACACTACCACTGAAATCACACTATTGAGCCATACCCTGAAGTGGCATCACCAGAAATCTTGCCATGCACCTCCATGCATCACTACAAGTACCGATGCGTGAAGCTCACATGCCACCTTCTTGACCTCCATTCACAACGGTACTTTTACAAACAAGGTTGTTTACTCTCACCAAGTCTGTTTTTGGGCTCAATTGCTATTTTTCAGTGCCGCTTTATCACTGTTTGGGAGTCCCAATTCAGTTCCATTAAGGAACACCCCAAACTTGTTTTTTTTTTGTTTTTCGAATTTGCTCCTCTTTATTTTTCAAGTTTTACTGTTGTGATGGCTGAAAAAGAAGGACCCAAGACCACCACCTATCCCAAAGTCACTCAACTAATGCCTTTGAGTGCTCACAACCTTCCAACGATTCCCTCTGTTAACCAGCTCAATTATCGGAATTATTTACAGTGGACTCAATTCATTCAGACAACTTTCAAGGGCCAAAAGTAGGCTGAACCATATTGAAGGAAAATCTCCAACAGAGGGAGATGAAGACTTTGAGGTATGGGATGATGAGGATTCTCTGATTATGACCTGGTTATGGGCACTATGATTCTGAAAATTAGTCAAACTTACATGTTTTTCTCTACTACCCGAGAAATTTGGGATATTCTTTGGCAAAACTATCCATGAAAGACATCTCCACTTGCTATGAGTTGGAAAGTAAAATCCTTGGTGCCAAAAGAGGAGTGCTTCCGGTAATAGACTATTATGAAACATATATGGGTTATGGGTGGAGTTGGGTCAATATCACAATTTGACGTAAAAGAACAGTGAAGATGCCACTGCATATGCTGACTCCATTGAGAATTTTTGACTTTTCAAGTTTCTCTTAGGACTTAATCTAGAGTGGGACCTTATAGGGGCACAAATACTGGGTAAAGAAAAGTTTCCCTCACTTTCTGAAGCTTTCTTTATTGTTCAAGAGAGGAGAATCGTGTAACGGTATGAACGAAAAACCACGAAGTGTGCAGGTTCTACCTTGGCTTCTAGAAAGGTTCCTAAACCAAGGACAAACACTTCAGGATTTGCAAAACCTATTACCAATAGGGATGATCATTGGTGTTATTGTAAGAGGTTAGGTCACACCAAAGACACATGTTTTAAGCTTCATGGAAAGAACACAGTCCTCAACAGCTCGAGAGGATTTAGGGGCTAGCTCCTAAGCAGGTCCATCAAGTAGCCTTTGATATAGGGAATATGAAAAATAATCAATTTTTCAACAAGCAGAGGAGATACCTACACTTTGAGCAAAAGTGGAGCGTTTGAAGAACCACATGGAATCACTTAGTAAGCCTTCTAGCACTTATTCTCTAGCCATGACTAGTAAGAATTTGAAGTTCCTCTCCTTCAATGTTTCTGGTACTGTGCCTAAGGATCTTTGGATAATTGACTCTGATGCTACTAGTCATATACCAGAAACAAGTAGGATAGACCCGGTTTTTCATGTATCCTTGCTTAAAAAGGCAGTGGGGAACTACCACGTGCAACCTGAGCTACCTGCAGGTTTAGGGGAAGCAGGAGAAGACATGTGGACTCCTGAGGCTGTGTTGGCTTCAAGGGTGATCAATAAACATAGTGAAAAGGTGAGGCAGTGACTGATTCAATGGACAGACAAACCAGTAGAGGAGGTTACATGAGAGAATGCAACTGACATTCAGAGTCAATTTCTGCAGCTGCATCTTGAGGACAAGCTTCTTTTTTATGGAGGAGGAAATGATGAGGACCCAAAAGGCAATGTAATGGCTTGTCTACATGAGGAGAAAGAAGAAATCAGAGAAGGACAAAAGAAATGCTGAGCTGGTAGAGTTAGTTAGGGAGGGGCAATAATATTCCATTATTTAGGCATGATGAGGCTAGGGGTAGGGAGATATGGTGATTCTGTTTTTGTATTGCAGGATAGAGAAGCATTTGCTCTCTATTAGATTTAGAAGCCTAGCTCTGGGGTATTTGGAGCTGTTGCCCTCATAGTGCATTTTGTTTTGTCTATTACCTGCTATCAATAATATACTTCCCAATTTTTCCAATCCTTTATTTGTTTCTGTTCCCTTCTATTTGTGTTAGTGTTTGTGTGGGTTGCATCATATTAAAAACTAAAGTCTCTTCCTATTTTGTAAGGCACGTTATCATAAAAAAAGTATTTAATTTAGTATATTGGTTTGAGAAGGTGAATATGCTGTGTTTTGAAAGATATAATCTTATCTTGTTTTGGGATTCTTTTATAAAGAGACCAAGTATTTACATGATAAAATAATGTCTCTTAATATTCTTTTATATATGCAGTGTCCAAGTACATGCTTCATATTAGGAGAAATAATGATAATACTTTCTACAAGTTTGGAAATTTAATCTTACACCAGATTGATTGCAATACCCAAATTCTTCCTCTACTGATAATATAAGTGGTTGTGGAGGCAAATATAGCTTCCAAATATCACACATATATGAATTCGATAGTATAAACATTGAAACATCTATACATATATAAACAATCTATGCTTCTAAGAATGATTTTAGGTATATGCCTTCTATTTGTAGAACACCAGATGAAAATGGCATGTTGAGAGGAAAGAGGTAAAACAGGTATGTCCTTAAACACTAAATAACATTTTCAGTTGTGCAGCAGAGCATGTAAAGAACTTTGCAACTTTCAAAATTCAAAAGAACAAGTATAAATAGTGAATACTACTGACCTTTACCGATTATCAGACCAAATTGCTCCCAGGTAAGTATATTAAAAGGTTCCATCTTGGTAAAATTGAGCATGACAACAACTGGAAGAAAAATCAAAACATTGAAAAGCCCAAGAAATCCAAGGAACTGAGCTGTACTGGCTTCACCACTCTTTCCATCATCATCAGGCAATTTCTTGCGAATAAGAGTTATATAAACTGCATATAATCCTGCTGAAACAAGTGCAAAAAAGTCTCCAAGAAGAGGATTTGATGCAACTGTTCTTAAACCAGATTGTGAATCGCCAAGACTTACAATTATTGTTCCTCCCATGCAAAGAAAAACACTAAAGAGCTTTAACCAAGTGAACCTCTCACCCAAGAATGCCAGAGAGACCAAGAAGGTAAAAAGACTGGATGCACTGCTTAAGATAGTATTTGACTGCGCATGAGATAAAAAGAAGGAACTAATTTAAGCCAGATAATTAAGTGAAACAGAAATTAAAATCCAGAAGGTTAAATCCAAATTGACATACCGTAACTGTAGTATACTTCAATGATAGGTTAAAAGTGAGTTGAGCTAAAAACCAAAATGGGCATATCAATAGACTAACTTTGGCCACTCTGCACCGGCTCCAACGCCCTTTCTCATCCAACTGATTATCAACATTTTCAACCACATTAATTTGATCACCCAATACCCTCATCACCCTGTCTTCGGGCAGCAACTCAGAACCATAGCTCCTTTGTTGACTGACACCAACCTCTTCGAGAACCGAGGATTCACGAGTTTCATTGCCTGCATCATTATCGTTGAGAAGGATAGCCTGCTCTGACTCCCCTACCCTTCTCTCCAAATGTGGGCTACACTGCTCACGCCTCCAAAACCATAAACCCCCATAAGAATCCTCCAAATACCTCCCAATTTCAACAATTGGAATCAACACCAAAAACAATGAATTGCAGATGTAGGTAACAAGGAATGGTGACACACCAGCATCTACAACAGATTGTACTACAAAGCTAGCAGCTATCCAAATTGTTGCCACAGCAAATATGTATATCAAACCCTGTGCCCATTTCCATGTTTTACTATGCACATCTTTTGATCCCATATCCATGCATCACCCAAACTCCAAATCTAGACTGCCCAGAAGGAAAAACCCTATCTAATGGAAAAATTATCAATACCCATTTTCTCAATTTTAGTAAAATATCACCTAAGAGCAACAAAAAATATATATTTTGGATCAGACGCTCAGAATTAAATAAATATGGAAATAATTGAAGCAAAATTTGAAAGGGGAAATGTCATAATTTGACACAAGCGATTAGTACGTTAGGATGTACCTGTATGAAAATCCGTGACGGCTGATCGAAAGAAGAAGTCACAATATTCGCCGAAATTGATTTCAATTTTCTGTGCGAACAATGAAGCAATCGTTTCAGATTTTATTTTTTATTTTTTTTTACTTTTGGGGCCAAATGCCGTTGAAATTGAATCCACGCGGAAACTGAATCCGCAAGCAATTCGATAAAGCGAATACGTGGGTCGGATCCGATTTTGGGGCGTGTGACCCTTTATTTTCTTAAAACCACCCGAGGTGCTGGCCCAAAAGGTAACAAGCTTTTGCTCTGTTTGTGGGTGAAGTTTCCAGTCCGCGGCTGCGTGTAGAATGTAAACCCAAAAGAGGAGTATGTGGCATATTGAGAGGTTTTTCAAAAATAAAATCTATTTACTCCGTTCAAAAGTTCTACTTTTTGGATTTTATTTTAAAAAATTTTGTTATGATATATAGTCTTTAACTTTTTTATACCATCAATTGAGTTTTATTAAGTGACGAATTAGATAACAGAAGTTTAATTCATTATTATCAAATATTTTTTTAACTCTTAACACACGTTAGCTAAAAAAATAAAATGAGTTGAAGCAATAGTTCATGTACTCAACATAGGGTGAATGAAACAATCTTAAATTGAAGAAAAAGTAACCCCACTTACGTAAATGAAATTTGATTTATGTAAAGGGGACACTTGCATTCAATTTGGACGGTGTCTAACATTCAATTTTAATTGAAAATGTGACAAAGGTTATGACAAAATAGAAAGCGCAGAATAACAATATTGATTGTGGGTGAGAGTTATAGTTGAGTTTTGAAAGATATAAAAACATAAACAAGGTGAGGTACATATGGGTATGTTAAATATATTTTAAATTTTGTAATAGGCTAAATTTAGTGGGTTATTTGAATGTAACATGTCTTGCATTTGTAGGGATGAATTTTAATTTAATAATACATCATAGGAGTAAGTATGAGAATGAATCCAACATGTACAAAACAAAATATTAATGTTATACATAAGACATTGTCAAATATCATTCAAACGTAAATAAGAGACAATAGAAAGTATGAACTAATTTAGCAATATTTTGTCTTACTAGATTAAACATCGTCCTTCTTTTGTCTCCCTTAAGTATATTCTTATGTAGAATGAGAATAAGTTATTATTTCTTAAATGATATTTAGCTGTAAAGTTTGACTAAAATTCTGAATAATACTTGTTTAAAAAAATTGAAACAAGAAGAATGAATGGAAGTTTATAACAATTTGAATGACGATTAATAATAACTGAAGCAACTTCAATGCACTCAATCTCGTCAAACTTACTCAATCTCAAGTATATTCGCATATTATCTAATTTCTTCAAATTTAAATTTATTATAATTAAAAAAACTAAATCCAAATTTAGGATTATAATATAATTTAAGCGGAAACGTTGTTCTCTTCAAAAAAGAATCCTTCAATGCTGGTTTGTAAAGCTTTTAGCTAGTTCCTTTCTTTGCTTTAAATCTGCTATGGAGGAAAACAGCCTTGCTCATAAAGATAAGCTTAGTTTTGTTATAATCCAAGAATTATACCATCATGTTGAGATGATTCGCCTAATAAGTACTCCACTCGAGATCACTTCATATTCATTATAGTTGCACACAGACTTCTATGGCTCACAACCAAATAGTCTTTGCATATTCTCATCATAAAATAGATGCTAGCATAAGTTATCAAGTTTTCCATAATCAAATAATAATCAATTGTATGAATGCAGCACTAAAAATGCAGTAATTGTATTGAGTTTTAATCCAGCTAATGTTTAATGACAAACACAAGTGTTGCTAACTTTGTGACACAGCAGTGTTCCCATATCTTTGCATGACTCTTTTGGTGGCTAGAGCAGCAGCTTCACTAGCACGCATTGTCCCAGTTGCCATAATTGCAGCAAACTCTTTGACAATCTCATCTTGAACCTTGTTGCGAGCATCTCCAAGAGGATCTGTTGTAACCCCATTTGGTGATGACTTTTGTGGTTCCCCAGCTGGCCTCACAGAAGGTGATACTTCTTTTTCTGCTGTCTTAGAATTACCATCTTTTCCCTTCATTTCCTTATCCACCTCTCTGCTCAAACTTTTCTGAGTGGTTGAGTTAGTATTAGTTGAATTCTTTTGGGTGTTAGCTGCAGTAGGTGAAGGATTCACTGTAGCTGAAGGCCTAAATTGGGGCACTTGTGGAACTCCGCCAGATTTCAATGTTGTTTCTAAATTCTGTATCATAGGCACTGCAAAATGAAACATGGAATGTCAGATTATGACAAATCAAGCACACGTCAATACAAATAAAGAAAATGGCATCTCAAATAGGAATCATTATCAAGGTTACAGAGAAACATTGCCTAACACTATGCTGGAAACTTTTCAGTTCGCTCAATTTCTAGAAGGAACAATTTATTTAAGCCATCAATTAATGTAGTTTGAAAATGAATAAAAGACAAATGGAAGAAAGTGATAAGCGTAGCAGGTAATTGTTAAGAACATGAAAAATATTCCATACAAGCCATTAACACTTCATTACTTTTACTTTGTTTGCTGGTTATTGAATTCTGTAGGAATATAGCAAACTTAAAATATCCATACCTACAAGAAGACACAACCAAGAACATATTTTGATATCAATGAAAGTGTTGGAGGTGATAACTTACATATAAGAGCCCCCATTGGGCTGCTCATAACTTCGTTAGGGAGCTGTAGAATGTAGTCAGGAATGGTTGTACCAACCAAAAATTGAGCTACTTCATTGCTGAAGTTATTGCAATTGTGAGTAAGCAAACTATAAGTTTCAGGCAAGTACCGAGGACTGATTTCCTGCAAATACATTTCAAAGACATCCTTGGGCACATGCGTCACACCTAAATCCACCACTCTAAGAGGAGTTCCATATGGCGTTGTTCCAGCAGGAGAATGCTGTATGCCCCCACCAAAGTAATACTCGTCACCATAAACCACAATTCCTGTGTGCCTGAGGTACAAACAGGAATCCCAAATTACAACCTTTCAAAGTACCAACAAAGGAATGGCACACTGAAGCTGCTGGCATGTACATCCAAAAATTCAACGTTTTAAAAATAATCAAACCTAAGGTATTGATATGTTCAGGGTCATATCCGTTTCTATACTAGTTCAATAATCACAGCATCAAAATTCCAGCAACACATGCATAAACAACTACTAACTACGGAATCAGGATCAATAACATTTTGCTTTGGACCCACGACAAAGAGAAGTACTCACCATATGCCTTCAATAGCTTTCCCTAAAAAAGACGTTGAAAGCTGTCGAGCAAGTCCTTGGCTTAGGTCATAAACATTTAGAGTAACCCTGTGACCATCCTGCAATCAAATATCAAACGTAATGATAAATGTCAAAATAATTGCAAAGCATTAGGAGGAAATTAAACATGAACAAGAGCTACATCTGACAAAGATTATCACTACAACATACCTCAGCCATCTGCTAAAGTTCAATGTAGAATTAGTCAGCTTCTTATGTATACTTATAAAAGAATGTTGTAAATACTCCAATAGAACGGATCAAAAGAACCTAATCGAGTCAAAAGTGAAATTTGGTCAGATTCGTATGGAAACACCCGTAAAAGAAGAACACCTTTATAAACTAAAGGTGACAAAAATAGCAAAATCAGGAGTCCGACGGGGAAACAGGCGCATCAAGTCACGTAAATTCCTTCATTATTCCAACCCTATTTTCTCATACACAAAACACACCCTCAACATTTAACATAATCACATGAAAACACACTATTAAATAAAAACGACGTGTCACTCAAAACAGAGAATTATATCTCATCATAAAAACGGAGAAAAAATATTTCATAAGAGAAAATCAATAAAACCACAATTCAGTATCCACATCCTCCACAAAAAACAATGACCCTTTTCAAAGAAAAGCACGCCTGAAAATTTTCACTAGTTGAACCCCCCCAGAAACCGAAGTTTTACCCTAAATTGGGTACGACCCAATTGAGAACCCAACTCCAAAATTCAAACTTCTAAACGTCTTCAGATCCAACACACAATGGACGCACCAAATCCAACAGCTACCGTACCAAAAAAACCTCTCCAAAGAATACAGCTAATAAACCACACCATATAACAAACACAACTGGATCACAAAAAGGTAGGGGAGAGAGAGAGAGGGAGAGAGAGGGAGCTCTTACAGGGGACAGGAAAATATTGGGAAGCAACGCAAGTGTTAACATGAGAAAAAGTGTGGGAGGGGAATTCCTTAAATAGAGGTGTTATTGTTTGGGAGATGTAGATTCTCTACGACCACCACTTTTGCCCTTTCCATAAGCCTCCATCACCTTCTAGAACCTACACAGCTAACTTATATCCACGTGCTTTCTATATTATCAATTTAATCAACTCATAAATTTTGAGATGACATTCTATTATTTTTAGAATATTATAATAAATTATATAAATTTACATAAATCATTTGTTGAAATTAATTTTAAAAAAATTAAATCTTCATATTTAAATTCTTAACATTTTTTTATTAGAATATAATAAATTTTCAGTGTATATATTTACGTGTGTAAAAAATTAATTGTATCTATTTAATATTTTATACATTTATAGTTAAAACTATAATTATTAATATTTATATTTTTAAAAAAATTAATGATAATTGATTAAATTTAATTAAAAAACATAAATTGTGTTTAAAATATTAAAAAATAATAAGAACTATTATGATAAAAATAAAAATTTACAAAATGTTTAATTATATATTACACATAAATTGATAAATAAAATAATATTTACATTTAAAATTAACTGCATTTATTTTATACGACTGTACATTGTTAAGATTTATAAAAGTAATTATGAGTTCAATATATGTATTTTATAATTATTGATATTTCTTAAAAATAAATTATAAATTGTGATATACAGTAAAATATTTAAAATATAATATGGGTACCATTTTAAAAATACAATATATTTCAACAACTTATTAAAAGAATAGTTCGAGGCAAGTATATACGACTACACATAAATAAAAGAAGAAAAAGTAGATAAGTGATGAAAATTTACACCAAAAAATTTAAAATAAAAGATATTAATGAATTATTGAGTTTAAGTTTTTTTTTTTTGCTAAAGTGCATATATTTAATATAATTAATGTTAAATTAGAATTAATGGATTTATGTGCTTGATAATATTAAATTTAATTTTATATTAAAATATTTTATTGAAAACAATTAATTTTATTATTTGGTTAAAGTTTTTTTTAAGAATAATTATCTCTTATAAAATAGATATAATATAAAAAATATATAATATATAAAATAAAAAATCTTAAAAAAGATTTTATTTATAAAAGTTTAATATGTATCTTTTAATAAATATATTACATTTTTGTTAAATTACATATATTATTTTGTTTATCTTATTCGAGTTAAGTACAGCCACCGTGGACGTTAAAATTTTTTAAGTCAAAGTAACTTCTAATAATTATTTACATGCTCAATAATAGTTAAATATTCTTAATATACAATTACACACATAAAAGAAAAAGAAAAACATAAAAATAAACAATAAACATGATTATTGATTTATCATGATAAGGAAAAAAAAAATATTAATGAGTTGTTGAATTTAATTTTTACATATAAAAATATTTTATTAAAATAATTAATTTTATCATTTGATTAAAATTTTTAATTTTAATGTAGATAATATAAAAGTTAAAAATGTTAAATTGTTTATTATTTTAGTTTATCAGTTTTTACTTTATAAAAAAATGCTTTTTAAAAGCAATTATTTTTTTAAAGATACGTGTCACTTTTAAATATTTTTATATTTTTTCATTAAAAGAAGTTTAAAAGTCCAAAATATACAAGGAAAATCTAGTAAGCTAAAATTTAAATTAAGAAAAGATAAAAAAGAAAGGAGCGAAGGGAGACTTTAAACACAATAAAGGAGATAGGAATTTGGGCCTAATTTAGTTAAAATAAATCAACACAAAAGTTGACTTCTTCACGAATGTAAGCAAACATGACAAAACGGATAAGAGAGAACACTAAATAAGAAGGGATAGGGACATTTAACACAAGTGGTAACTTCTTTAGAATCACTCAATCCATATTAAATGGGCATAAGAGGAAATTGTTAGTTGAATACCCAACAAAATATCTTATCCACATTTAATTTGGGCTAATCAATGTGGATAACTAGGTATAATAGAAATTTTTTGAAATATAAAATGATTCTTATCATTTTAAATATGCCAAATAACGGTGTCAAAAGTGATAGACCAGTTATGAAAGTACCTAATACAAGATTTAGACATATTAGATAATAATTAGGAATATATACCAGAGTTGAAAAACAAAACCCACTAGTAAGCTAGAATAAAATTTTTCCAAACTTTCCTAGCATAATAGCAATCTCTTAACATATGCATAATGATTTTCTGTCCATTCTCACATCCAGAGCAAGTAGGAGAATCTATCATAACTATATTGAATCTTTTCTCATTGGTGATTAATCTCTCACGAGCAATTTTTCAAATAAGGAAAGCAACTTTAGAAAGACCATTCTAGTTCCAAATGATGTTAAACAGATCATTACTTCTACTCTAAGCAAAGAACAACATTATTTCATAAGGAGCAAGCTAATTTTAGGGTAAATATACCATTACTAGACATATTCCAGAAAGCAAAATTAAGGCCTCTAGATCTAGCAGGAGGTAAATCAAGGCTATAGTATTACCAATTTGATTGGGAAGAAAGGGCAAAATTATATCCCTGTCCCAACTACCTTGGTCTAAGAACAGAGCAACAAGAGAATCCAGATCAAGGTTAGAAACAAGAAATTTAGCATGATTAATCAATTTATCAATCCTAGAAATTCATTATTTGTCCAAAATTTTATGTACATTCCATCTTTCACAACCTAACCTAGACCTTGAGAGATAGGCCAAACACACATAATATTTTTCAACATATAAGATTGATTGGACACTTTTCTAACCTTCAGAGTTTGGCCAGGACTAAAATGATACTTGTGGCTCATAACCTAAGCCCATAAATCAGAAGGAGAGGAAGTCATCTTCTAACAAAGTTTCATCATATAACTTTTTACTACTATAAAAGCGCCATTTACAGACAGCGCCATCTGTAATACAGACGGCTTTACAGACGAATTTGTGAAAATTTTTTAAAATTTTTTGAAAAATTCGTTTGTAAATCTGTCTGTAGTTTGCCCATCATTTGGCGCGAAATAATTTAGACAGGAATTACAAACTGATTTTTCCGTCTGTAATTTGAAAATGAGAAGAAAATTTGGAGCAGGAGTTACAGACGGAAAAATTTGTCGTAAATATTGTCGTTTTTTACTGACTTTTCATCTGGTAATTTACAGACAATTTTTTCCGTTTGTAACTGAACTTGATGAATTTATAGACGGATAAATTTGTCTATAATTGAACCTTTAAAATGCATTGTTTCATTAAACCATTTACAGACGAATTTTTCTTCTGTAATGTGCGAAACCCATAAAATTGCGCCTCCTCCTTCTTCTTCCTCATTTTGCATAATTTTCTCTCTCTCTTACTTCTCTCTCTCTAGGATCTTCAATTTTTGGCCTTTCCGAGTGATTGGAGTATCTATTTGAAAGATAATTTGCATAATTGTGTTCCTAGTATGATATTCTAACTTTTAATTAGTTTATTTTTTTTATTTTTTATGTATTTTAGAGACTTAAAATTTCTAAGATAGAGTTGTAAGATTGGAGATTGTATGACTGGAGGGAATGGCATAAAGGTCCTTCTCCTAACCTGATTATTGTGTGCTATGGGATTATTTATGTTTGTGAAACTTGCAGAATATACATGTTGTGGAGTTATAAAAGGATGTGCTCTAGAACGGTTTAGGATTGTGATGTGTTTGTATTTTATTCATTGATTAATATATTGCTATATAATATATTTGTTATGTGTGATGAAAATTTTGATTTTTGTAAAAAAGTGGTAAACAAATGTAAGAAAATTAACATGTATTAAGGGAGATTCTGCCAAAATTTATATTAAAAGTTTGTGTAATGTATAATAGAAGGTTGATATAACATTGTGTATATGTATTAGGTTTATATAGTTCTTGCTCCAGATGTTTCTCAGAAATCGTCAATTGATGTATGATAGGTTGCACCCAAGTCGGGAGAGGGAATAAAACTTGAATTATTTGAGGGTGTAGAGGAATTCATACATGTTTGTTGTAATTTGCAGCAATTCATCACCAACTAGAAAGTTAGGTGTCCATGTTCTAAGTGCAAGTGTAGAAAGTTTTTGGATATTGATTCAATTAGGTATAATTTGTATAAGTTTAGATTTAAACATGATTATTGGATATAGACTGAGCATGGGGAAGTAGTTAATGTGAAAAATCACGTAGGCAATTCAAATATATTGCAATCAGGTGAAGATGTAGGTAATGTAAGTTGGGAAGAAAGCAATAATCGTTATGAAGAAATGATTTATGATGTTGTTGGTACTGAATTTGGAATTTTTCGTGATTTTGAAGCTGAACAAGAACCTAATGAAGAGGTCATCTCTGCATGGAGACACACACTCGCAAGAAAGACAAAACTCTGTGGATTAATACACGATCTAAAGCCACATATGTAAGTCATTCTTATTGATACTATATGTTATTATTAGTAATTTATTAAATAGTTCTTCAAACTAATATCTAATTATTAGTAAAGTGGTCCTAATTATCAGACCTATATATATATATATATATATATATATATATATATATATATATATATATATATGGATTATATGAATTTTCACTTGTTGGTTGTATAAATTATGTGAGTTGTATAGTTGTTGAATAAAGAGCCATGCAATTACAGTGTGTGATTAATTGTTGAATGTTTTATAAGTATGCTAATGTAGGGATTACAACGGAGGACTTATATTGCCTCGTTTTGAAAAAAATTTGGAGTTCCGAATATAGGATTTCTTGCTCAAGTGAAGTATGCCTTGCTTCAGCGAGACTGAGTCATATTGGATTGAACATTCTAGAGCGATTTCGCTCAAGCGAGATAAGATAAGATAACCTCACTCAGGCAAGATGAACTCGTTCAAGCGAAAAGTCGTAGAAAAAATAAGGAACTCTTTAGACCTCTCGCTCAAGCAAGAATGCTGCTTGCTAAGGCAAGATGTTTCTCGCTTGAGCAAGAATAGTAGAAATATGCGTAAATGGCACTGTCTGATTTTCTCGTT